TTTTCTTATCGTCGGAAACAATTCCTCTCACGGCTGCCGTCTGAACTGGTCCATCACTCTCCACAAGAGAGCGAACATTCCATGAGCCAATGCTCAGAGTCGCTCCAGGTCGTCGCCTTCGTGCGATAGTTTGATCCACTCGCGGGCTTGCATGGCCTCGCGAAGGACTCCGAGGTGGGGGGACAAGGAGAGTGTCGGCATCGTAACTATCCGACCAAGTCTCCTGTCGTTGAAGACCCCACCTCAGGCGTTGCTTGCCTGGACGGCTGGGGACACCCCAGGCCGTCCACAACGGCGAGGACAAGCACGGATGGAGGCCAGAAACAAGAGCCCAAAAAAGTACAACCGTCCTCCACCAGAGCAGAGGACATACACACACACACGCACGCACGCACGCACGCACGCACGCACGCACGCACGCACGCACGCACGCACGCACGCACGCACGCACACACACACACACACACACACACACATGCTTGCACATACACACATTGCACACGCACAAACACGCACACACTCGTGTACACACCCTCAAGCCCCCACAAACAAACACAAGCCAAATGGACCCGCCCACTCACACTCAAACGGCTCCACCCACCCACGTCATACCAATGCCCCCAACCTGCATACCAATGTGCTTGTTCTTTTACGTGCTCATTTCCAAAGCTTGAACGGCAAGGGATTCAAAGGCATCTTCAGATGATGGATTGGCTATCGATCCATCCAACGGCAGATATCTTATACTGAAATCGACTAACTCTGGATGGACTTCGATAAATTATTCCACTTATAAGCTCACCACACATGTGTGAGTGGTTTAGGACATGGTGCAGAAAAGGGTTTGGCAGCACTTACCTCCCCCCCCCCCCCCCCCAGTGAACGTAATAGTGTAATTTTTTTTTTTTTTTTTTTTGACTTTTTAACTGAGGAAAATGTTATCAACTCCAAAGCACGAAAAAGGCCAAAAACTAAACCAAGAACATATGCAATATTAAACATGTTATTTATAAAGACAGGACAAGTGAATAATTAGTCAGTCCATTGTTCATGATGATCTCCGACGGTTACGTCGGCAAGCGAGCCTCCGCCACTGCCAAAGCAGCGTGGGCTCCGCAGGAGGGTGCAAATTTCAAACCAAAATTTAAACGCCTACAACCGCGAATGCACATGATACAGGATTTCAGAAGGCTGAAGGAAATCCTGCATCTAACAAATGCCATAACATGAGAGTAATGCTCACCCCTCTTCTCCGCCAACAGATGAGCAATTCGTTTGTACAGTGCTGTTGATGCTGGACCCATTCCGCCACTGGCTGACATGACCGCCGGAACAAAGGAGGCTTGCTCAACCTGCCTCACCCGCTCCTCATAGTGCCTTCTCTTTTCTTTTTCATGTCGCTGATACACAGTAGTATGTGGTGCAGATCGATTTGAGCGTCAGTGAGGATTAAAAACCCGTATATCAATAAGTGTACGCTCAAAACGACTGCCCCACAAACCATTGGCAGCGACATCCAACCGGGCACGGTCTTCCACATTTGCGGTCCGGTAGCGAAGACGCTCCCCCGTCAGCGGTTGCAGCAAGGGCTCGATGGACACACTGGTGCACACCTCGTCCAGCAGCCGGGCCGTGACGTCCCGAATACCATTGTGTCTAATGGAGGGAAACCCTCCATAGGGGCACGACAGGGAATGCGCGACAGTTGCCTCTTGGCCGCAAGAGCAGTGTGACGGTACCCTGGCCGGCGTCCATCCGTAACGGAGGCAGAGTCCGTCCCAAAACTCTCCCTTTGTTAAATTAAAATTATATTTCTTAAGTGGACGGCACGTCAGCCAGCTCGACGACCCTTTCTCCTTCGCGACGTCTATGACATGTCGTAGCGACTCCGACGCACTGCCCGATATCGCGTCGAATTCCAGTTTCTGATGACGTCGAGAAGATGCCTTGGCGTCTCTCTTGGCCGATCTGATTAACACTACCGAGTCACCGATGGAGCCATCCCCTGACAAGATTCTCCGAGACAAAGGGCTGGTCATCCGAACCGACGAGTCGTATTGTTGGCATAGGGACACAGGGTTAATCAAACCGAGCCCACCCAGACGACACGGCAAAGCCATAAGCCGTCGGAGGGTGTCGCCTGGGGGTGCACGGCAAGTTAAGGCGGGAATCAGTTCAGACTTCACAATGTCCTCCAGCGGTTGGAACATGGGTTCGGGTACCTTCATGGTACGACAGAGGAACGCCCATCTACCCCTGAGGCCCGTCACATACGCAGAATACGCAGCCTGCGGCTGGGTTTGTGCAAATACTGCTAGCTTCTTCAGTTCCCCCATCCATTCGTCCACCTTTGTTTTGATATCCGATTGCTGCGCCAAGATATCGTGATCCCTCGTCCGTTATCATTACACCAGTGTCTCGAAACAATTCAGTCGCCTCCTGGTAACACCTTTCCTTGACGACAAGGACCGATTTCTTTGGGTTTACGTAATATCCATATGCCGGTCCTCTCTTGTCCATTATGTCCCACCATAGACGGAGTCTGCGAAGACGAGCAGCAGCGGATGAATCGTCCGCGAACCATGACTGCACCGCACCCGCCTCATCCGCCAAACGTATCAAGGGCATTATTCCCAACGCGTACATGTACATTGCAAGGGGATCACCCTGTGTTGTCCCTTCTTGCGACAGGATACTTTCACCGTCCACGTAGAGATGAGCTGGATCACGGTAGGTATTAATAAGAACGGTAGCAAGTGATGGACACAAGTGCCGAACATTTCTTAAGCAAGTCTGTCGATTTAGTCTGTTGAACGCATTACTTGCATCCGCCATCAGAATTCCTTCGGTGTCATCCAGCTCAAAGGCCTGCTGCATCGCATGTATTCCCGCCTCTATACCGCAATCCTGGCCAGCGCATAGCTGTATACACCCAACCGCCTCCTGGACGGCTTGGCCTACGACGGAGAGGATGGCCTTGCTTATAATGCGTCGAGCGACCTCACCTATTCCAATCGGCCGGACACCGGGTTGCTTGTCCAACGCTATCAATCTGCACGCAGTGAAAGCCGACAAAGATGCTGGGTGCACGTACGTGGAGGCTAAACGCCTTGCACACGATGCTAGTGCATCGCAAAGGCCCTGGGAGGCGTCAGAGAAACTAGCGCAAAAATGCCTCCAGTTCTCGGCGTCAACACCACTCGGCCCCGCAGCACCCTGCGTACCGAGCGCTGCACTCTTAATCGACTGACGTCCAAGGCTGCTGAAATAGATCGGATGAGGTGGAGCAGGTGGATCACCACCAATAACGGCGTCCTCGCTCATCGGCTCTGCGGGTGGATGTTTGTCTTTCAGGATATCCCGGACAGTGCGTCCGTCAATCTCGTCGTCCAACTGATGCACGCCTCCATCATCACCGCTTGTCAAGCCACGGAGCGCCTTGCCCACTTTGCCCGCGGTGACATAATCTGCAAAACGCCTAGCAGGGTCAACCGACGGACCCACTGAATCACGTTTATGTTTGTTCTTGGACGATAGAAGAGAGGTCTGTATGGTGTCTGCTTCCCGTTGCAGCTCTGCAAAATCTCCCTTCGACCACTGGTCCATGCGGCGCTCAAGTATTTTACCATATTTATTATTGTCACAGTCCGGCTTCTGCAGCATTAGCATCTGGTAGACGGCTGCAATCTTGAGTGCGATCATTTCATACGATCCCCCATCTCCGAAGCAGGAATAGAACGATGTCAAGGTAGTGATAAATCGTCTTCCAATATTTCCAGACGGCACAGAGAAAGCATTCGGGCGAAAGTGAACACATTTGTTATATGCAGCCTCTATGGCTCCAGCTGTCTCCGCTGCAGACAAATCACCAAGCCTGAACGACGGGTCGGAGCTAGCTATGGGTTCCGGCTGGGCACACGCAAGGTCGACATAGCGGTATTCACTTCAACAGCATCCCCGGACGTGTGCCCCCTGGTCTCCCGGGAAGCAGAGTGTAAGTCACTTGTGGCTGGTACCGAATTACCACGCACAGGTCCCCCAGGCAAGGACCCGGTGTCATACACGCCCGGCGAGCATACCGGAGCAAAAGTGTCGACAGCGGAATGCGGATCAACCGCTTCCTGTCCATCAGGTAAGTTGGTATCAGCTCCGGTTTTAAAGGGTTCAATTTGTTTGTCATTTCTAGTATTGTCCATTTCATCATTGTCAGCTACCGGTAAAGACCGTGCATCGACGCTCCTATCCAGCCGGCCAGCAGAAGAGAGAATGAGATCGCCCGACACTGGTTCATGTCCAGGTAGAACCGGCACTGGGCAAGCAGGAATACCCCGCCGCTGTGCCAAGCTGGAGTCATCACCTCCCAAGGAACCATGAACCACTGTGGTACAGTCGCTTGTTCCATTGGAGTGCGCCGCCATCGGCACAAGACCTCTATCATCAGCTCGAGGTGGATGCGGATTGCGACATTTCCCATCCATCATTGGCCTGCAGTTTGTACAGGGCTGCTTGAGGCCGCAGCATCTACAGTCTCTGCACAGGTCACCGTTTGCAGCGCAGCGACAGCACCCCACCTGTCCGCTGTGGCTCTTCGCTACGTAATACTGTAATACATGTATGTAGATGGCAACACACGCAGTCACAATCTGGCTTCAGAGTACCCACCAACAGAACTAGCTGACACACCCATCAAACATGCACTCACCCTCCACTCCCCCTCCTAACACACACACACACACACACACACACACATGCACGCTTACCAATGCATAATTATGTTACAATCGACTTCCATCCTAAAATTATCAACTGGGATTGTACTGTGTTAAGAGTATATGATTGATCTGCTGTTACATGATTGAAAACAGTCCCACAATTTGATGCTGAACAGTGATATAGGCTAGTTCTATCTTTATGTATACCACAGTACACTGTTAGTGGGTAGGAGAGGGATTTTACACAATACAACTGTACATGTACAGTGTGTACTGTCTGGTTATTACCTGAACCCGATGGCTATTGTACTCTGTCACAGCAAGGCACTGGCCCAGTATGCTGTGGTTCACTAGGACAACACCAGTTGGGAAATTGAACTCGCCAATTCCTGATCCAAAACGTCCTATGGTGCTGAACTTGGAGAAGTCCTTGTCAGTGATCTGCAGAGGGGGCATGGAGATGGACAGGAGAAATCAAGATGATTTAGAAATGGCAAATAACCTCGTCAAATGCTTCGTACAGTTTTCGAGGAGACAAAAGTATAATTAGCACTATAAGCAGTATTAGTGCCAGAGACATTACCATGCAAGTAAACGCGTTTAGAGTTAAAAAGGGTGTGTAATTCCAGACCCAATTTTCTGCTGCAGTCATCAGTGGACTTTACGGAACTACTTTACTACTTTATGGAAAACGAGAGAGCTTGGAAGCTCAGGGCCCTACGCTATGCTTTTTTGCCTTGATGACCTAGACAAAAAAAGCAGTAGTAGTAGTAGTAGTAGATTTTATTATTTTACTAGGGGAGTCCCAACAGGCGTTGCCTTTTTACTGGGAACCCTAGGTGAATTTTTACCATGTTTACATACAGAGTAAGAGACGGGGCCTGACGGCAGTCAGTGGGAAGAGCATTCCATCTGTCTGCCGCCAGGAAAGAAATAGAACGCATGCCATATTGCGTAGAAACAGGCGGAAGAACTAATGCGCGCTGTGCCTGGCCGCGCGTGCGAGCCTGGTGTCCAGGCACAGCAGCCCTAAGCTGGAACAAGGATTGGAGAAGGGGACTAGCAAGATGTGGGGTCAAGCAGCGGTACACGAAAACATAGAGTTTAAGATGTGTGCGCTGTTCAAAAGAATAGAGATGATATTTGCGGAGAACAATTTCAGTAGACATCATACGGTCAAACCCAAAAACTTTCTTCATTGCTATGTGACTGACCGTCACGATTTTATTGAACAGGGTGGCGCTGAGACAGTGCAGATAAGCGTTACTGGCATAGTCGAGAGTCGATTGCACAATGGATAAATAGAACGTCCTCTTCGCTTCAGGTGTTAGGTTTTTTCGGCCATGTCTGAAGGCGGCAATCTTGCCGAACACCGCACCGCAGACCTTCTCGACTTGCGGCTGGAAGGTGAGATGCTCATCGATGAGTAGTCCGAGATACTTCACGGTGGCTGCAGGGGTGAGGGGCTTGCCTTTACAAACTAGGGGTATAGGGATGTTATAAATTCTTTAAAAATTCCTTTTTTTTTAGACATAACCTGGGATTCGAACCCGCACTATCGCGCGCCCTGCATGCATCCCCCGATACCCTTCGCATACATACTAATTCTTACAAGTTGTTTCACATTGTGATCTTGCATTTGAAAGCTCTATTTTGTATTGTGGCCAGCCGTCTTTGATCGCACGGTACGGTAGGGGATAGGTACGGGACAGGTACGATCGAGGGTAATACGAAACCGTCTCCCGTACCGTACCGTACCATCAAACACAGCTGGCCACATACAGCTGCCCGCAATATTCAAATAGGGCTTTCAAACGCAAGATAGTAGGGAGGTTTCGCTCTACGGAATTACGTATGAAAATAACGTAGGAACTGCACGGAATTTTCATACGTAAAAATCAGAGCTGTTGGGTTTCGCTCTACGTGATTTCTCCACGATTGCTAAACATGCGTTGTTGCTTTGGAGACGCGTTGGCTGCATGCGCCCACCGCATGCACCATGAACCGAAACCGCATTTTCCATTTTATTTTGCACGTGGTGTACGGTGTGTGTACCTTGTGTTTCGCGCGGCTTGAATGTTGCCATGGACAAATGCGGAAAATGCGAAAAATATTTCAAAAAGTCCTACGGAGGACCCAACGTAGGAAAGTGCTTTCCTACGGAAATCCGTAGAGAGATTTACGTATGAAAGTTGCCCTCGCTCCCCGGCGCGTACGACATACGGATTTTCATACGTAATTACGTAGAGCGAAACCTCCCTAATAACGTAAAGCAACTTGGAAGAATGGGTATGAATGCGAAGTGTATGCGGGAATGCATGTAGGGCGATAGTGCGGGTTGGAATCCCAGGATATGCCTGAAAAAAAGGAGAATTGAAAAATTTATAACATCCTATGCTTTTTTGCCGTCAGATACGGATAGCGCCAGGCGTGACACAAACAAACACACAAACAAACACCAACTTAAATAGCTACGGGAATAAACTCGTATAAGGCTAGTACATGTATACTCGTACTTGTGTGTGTGTGTGTGTGTGTGTGTGTGTGCGTGCGTGCATGTGTGTGTGTGTGTGTGTGTGTGTGTGTGTGTGTGTGTGTGTGTGAAAAAAAAATGAAAAGACCAAAAATAGGGATTCACTGGCCAGAAAATGTCACTCCAAATAGCTGTATGGTGTAGACCAGGCTGAATAGTGACGGTCAATTCTTCAGCCTTGCAAGCTGTTGAATGGTGTAATCCCAGCACAAGTTGCTATGGCTTCTGCCGTAGCATTGCTATCATCGCCTCCGGCGATGGGCGTCAAAGGTCAAGGTCAAAGGTGTGTGTGTGTGTGTGTGTGTGTGTGTGTGCTGCTTTCGGTCTGTGCAAGGCCGCGGTCGTCACCGGTGCTCGAGGACTGGCCCGCGCCCGACTGCCCAGCAGCGTAATTCGTTCAGCCATGTATGCGTGTGTTCTCGCCGGTTCCGTCTGCCCCACCATCTCCGGCGTCATCAGCCTGCGTGCTCCATCTTCCTCTCTGATGCCCCTCCGGGGCCCACGTGACCCCTGTGGCAGTGGCTCTACAGGACAGGTGTGTGTGTGTGTGTGTGTGTGTGTGTGTGTGTGTGTGTGTGTGTGTGTGTGCAGGGGCGGATCCGGGGGGGGGGGGTCGGGGGTTCGAACGAACCCCCCTGCTTTTTCCGACAATAGTTCGGGTGTGACCACTAACCCATGCCCATGTGACGTGCACGCCCCATGCTATGGCCCAGTCGGCCCAGGCCAGAGCGGTCCGGTAGCTATGCAGCTTGGTAGATCTACATGACATTGTACTTTGTTGTGTTGAACGTAGATAATACAAAGTAAAGTAAATCTGCACTGAATATACAGCTACGCGTTCGCTTCGGAGAAAGAGGTGCATGCATTTGTTGAGCTGCTGTGGAAACTTCGAAAGTAAGTTTCAAATACTAGTTTCTTAATAGTGGCCGTGCAGTGCTGTAATTGTCGTCGCGGCTCGTGATTTTTGAGCTGTCTTAGAGTTCGTCGAAGCGTCTAAAGAGGCAGGCTCAAGACCAGCTGCCATTGAATTTTGGTGACACTCCAAAGAAAAGTGTAGCCACTAGTGTCGCAGGTAAAACAAAGAGCGAAACTTTGGAAATCTCCTTCAAATTCACCGTCCCATCATCCAATAATCAAAATTTCTCCGAACTGGGGACAATTATGACTGAGACACGAAAGATGCAGGAAGCCTGCCATATGGAACCTTCTGTACAGTGGAGTCAACGTCAGGCCGCTCGGAGTACAATATTATGGACAATCATTACAGACGAGCTACTGGAGAAAGTACCAATCACCTATTCTGCAGCAAAGAAATTGAAAATTTCTTCCTTGTGCTGCGTGTCTTTAACAATGTTTTGTTTTAGCTGCAGAGTGTTGAAAATAGGGAAAATGAAGTTTCATTTGTATAGCTGGCATATTCAAGTACAGGATGCAATATACAGTACATGTGGGCTGTCGTGCTGTACCGATAACGCGAACGTGTGACCCTCTTATACCTGTGTATGTCATCAATGACTCATCATTTCGTCATTGTGGGTAGGGTGGGAAAAAATTGAACCCCCATTGGAAAAATCCTGGATCCGACCCTGGTGTGTGTGTGTGTGCGCGCGCATGTGTGTGTGTGTGTGTGTGTCCCCCCCCCACTCAGCACAAGCTGCTATGGCTTCTGCTGTAGCATCGCTATCATCGCCTCCGGCGATGGGCGTCAAATGGTAAATGATGTGTGTTTGTGTGTGTGTGTGTGTGTGTGTGTGTGTGCATGTGTGTTCAGGTGTGTGTGTGTTTTGTGGGGGGGGGGCTGTACACGTTGCCAGATGTGTCTGTTTCTTTGGCCTTAAATATCAATGTCGATAAGATAAAAATTCCTTGTGGCTGATAGGAACATCACACCATCTGACATCGGCCTTTGGCCACGAAATGTCATAAGTTGGCAGTGTGTGTGGTTCTGTGTACACTTGAGAGAGAATGCATGCATGCAGGTATGTGCAAGGTTTTGAGTGTGTATTCTGTGGGTGGGTGGTTGAGCGTGTGTGACTGTATGTTAGTGTAAGTGTGTGTTTGGGTGTTAACATGTGTGGGCCAATGTATGAAGAGGAGAGTGTGTGTGAAATAACAGTGGTGCTGCCCAACAAATACAGGTTTTGCTCGCAACATGAGCCATTAGTTAGTAAGTGCTCATCATTGCAGCAAGAAAACCATTTCAATAAAATTGTATTACAAAGAGGTATTTACTTCTGTATGGGTTATAATGTGGGTATCCAATGACAACATAGTTTGTGTAAAATGTACATGTATGTGTAATTGTATGTTGTTGATTACTCAGGGGTCGTCTGTAAACACATGTATTTACTTAGAGAAGTCTAACAGGCGTTTGTGGTGGGTTCGCCTACAAGGCGTTTCTAAAAAATACATTTCAGAGTGCATGCATACCATACCGCGTGTGTACATGTACATGATGTAGCAGTGCTACAGCTAGTACAGGTAGGCGTTGAGATGCACTACACTGCACTACACACGTCACGGCAGAGTAGACAGGGACACATACACAGCCATACTCTGTACTCCCAGAAACATGCGCTTGCATGCAGTGACAGGCAGCTACCAGCAGACTTGTAGGTGTGAAACAGGATCCTTGGGCTTGGTTTCAGGTTCAGGTGCACATGTAGCCCATGACAGTATGACTCAGGTGCACTTGCTTTACATGCAGCCCTACAGGATTTGGTTCGTTATAAATGAAAACGCTGCTGTAACTTCGCTATAAAGGGTCAAATTTTGTATGGTTTCAAACAGGGATATGGACAAGGGTTCGCTATAACACGAAATTCGTTAATATGCGAATTCGTTATAAGTGGAGTCGACTGTACCGTATATGTGTTCATAGCATGGTGTTTATTATGAGTGGTATTATCTGCACTTTTCGGGGGCCTTGCTGGGGGTAGGTGGGTCAAGAAAGAACCGCCTATTAGACGTCTCTAAGTGATTACATGTAGTTACGGGGAGCCCCTCACCGTGTTCCGGTTTTCTCTTTTCTTTCTCTGGGCCTTTTTGAAGTTTTTCTGAACAGCTGGCTTTACTGCATTGTTGATCAATTGTGCACGTAAAAGAGGCTACTGTTTACATGTAATCCTTACAACATGATTGGAACACCAAGACTATACCTGTAGTCGGTTGTTGAAAGTATCAGTAATGATCACTCGTTCATCATCTGTTACATGCACAGCTGTTGGGAAGTCGAACTCTCCACAGTTTGTACCGTGCCGACCAGTCGTCTGCTTGAACTGGCCATCAACACCGTGTATCTAAGTGTATTGACAAAAAGAAATACAATTTACAAATGTTAACACAACCATGCACCCATACATAGCCCAGATCCAAACATACATGTAGTAAACATTTGGTTGCAGTTCTATAGTGTGAATCTAGCGAAAAGATCGTCCAAAACTGTCAGTCACACTTACACACCCAATGCGCTGTCGGCCACCCCATTCCACTTGCACATCACCACCACAGCCAGGACAATTTAGTTGAGATATTGACTTTTCAGACCCTCCAGATAGCTTTTTGGTCCAACATGGTGACAGAGCTCATCAGTGGAGGTTGTTGATAATGGTTGATTAAAATACAATGAGTGATTGATTTTGTATAGGGGAAAACTTTCACAATTTCACACCTTCCGAGTCTCTAGTGTGGCATGTCCCAGCAAACAAAGGGGTTAGGCCGGTGATAACCGAAAGTTTTAACAGATGTGACAATACAAGCGTGCAGTGTTTGGACATTCAGCACTCGTATGTATGAGTGGCTATTGGCTACTAGTAGCACATCTCTTTGTTTTTTGATTTTGTACCAATTCTAGTACTGCAGACGACCTGAAAGCATGTCCCAGTAACGCACATTTGCACTACCTGTTATCACCTATAGCCTCAGTGTCACATGGTATGCCACACTTCGACGTAGAAAGCGCACAATTTCGACTGTTTTACCCTATCATAACATTATCCCTTCACCCGAATCACAAACTTTCACCAACCACCACTGATGAGCTCTGTTGGAGCAAAGCAACTGGCTTCAGGGTCTGAGATATCAATATCTCTTTGGAAATGTCCTCGTTGCGGTGGTGATGTGCAATTGGAATGGCTCGGCCAAGAAAACATTTAGGTGTGGGGGTGTCACAGGTATTCAAAGTCTTTTGTGATTTACAATTGTCGCCTTTCTCAAGTTTGATGGTTTAGAAAAACTGATCACTTCTGAAGAGAAATGACATTCTGTTAATATCAACTTCTCAGCTCTTGTGTTCACTGGGTTTACAGGTTAACTGGATGGTGCAATAACGTAAAATTTAGAATGTTGAAGAATTCATCCAAGGGATTGTCTACTACTGTTTCAAACAGTCTTGAGCATCTTCAATCTGACCAATTGGGATCCTTATTTTTCATTTCTACTAATGCACACACAGACCATTCTGAGCAGGTCATCTATCAGAGTGACATTTATATACAAACTGTACTTGTCGGATAGCAATGTACTGTGAGTTCAGTTACCTTTATGCTGTGGTTTATGGCGTCACAGATGATCAGGTCACCAGCTTTTTTGGTTGCTAGTCCCCAAGGGCCGCCAAACTGATCTCTCCCACTGCCCTGTCTACCAAATGAGTACTTTGATTTGCGGATCTGTGTGTAATCACGCTGCAATACAGGGAAGCAGTAAGAACAACAGCAATCAACACTAGGATCATAGAGGGAGAACAGAGTGATGTCAAACCTGGCTGGGTGGTCATACACTTCATACTTCGATTTCAAATTTTCTTTGGCCTCATGTTTCGTATAAGGAGTAGATGATGGGATATACATCACCCTAAGGTGAGGGAACACATTTTTGACTATACAACCCTATAAAAATTGATAAAAATGGGCAGCGCTATCAATCCTCCGGAATGTCCATGACAAAGCAGTTTCAAGCGTTACCATGACCACAACTCAACATTGAGGCAACAACAATGGAGTCGGCAGCAAAACGAACGAAGGAAAGGACTAAACTAATATCATTTGAAGTGCAACTAGTCATATATACTCATGGTTTTGCCCTGCATAGTGGAACTCTGACTTGAACAGACACCAGTGTTGTGTGTATGTAAACTATACTCAACTACTGTATTTCCCCGTAAGTTAGTTCTCCCCTATGACATAGTACCCCTCCCCCCCCCCCCTATAAAAAATACACTTTCCACTGCCGAGGTTATCACCCCGAACGACAGTTCCCCCGAAAGATAGTAAGTTCGAACCCGTCCTACATGTACAGTACACACATCATATGCACGGACACTAGAGTTGCGCAGGCTTCCCACTGCATGTCATTTACCCCCGATAAAAAAGTACTCCCCGAAAGATAGTACCACCCCTGAAAGTTAGTACTCATGTGGCTGCTAAGTTCGAAAGTTAGTACGTACTAACTTACGGGGAAATACTGTAAAGCATGACGTCATACACGTACCACTACACACCCAGTCATGCAGGGTAACAGACTGTAGGAGAAATTTGTATACACCGTCGCATAAACTTGTACTTGTAAAAGTAAGCCTTTCAAAAGTAGACCAACCTTCCGTGGTGGAGATGCAGCTACTACTGCTGCCGCTGCTGATGATGCTGTTGATGGTGAAGGTGACAACGTGTTTCTGGGCAAGGTAGTCTGATCTGAGGCTGACCCTTGTCTGGGCACTCTAGCCGGTGTTTGAGCTGAGGAAGCGCTGGATGACATCATCAGTGGTGTTGCAGAAGATGTACAGCGTGGTGATGGAGTGGGTTTGGGAATAGAGTCACGGCTTTGTGAGGTAGTCGCCGTCAGACGTTGAGTAGGCATAGTGCTGGATCTAGACGAAGGTGTGAAGACACGCGATTCCACTGCAGCTGTGCGTGAATCCACTGCAGCAAAGCGTGAGTCCACTGCAGCAAAGCGTGAGTCCACGGTGGAGTTGAGTGAAGTGAGAGTTGATGAGTGGGCACTGAGGTTAGTGTCGATGGTGGAAACTCTCTCCCTCAATGCATCCATGCCGTTCACTTTCTCTTCCACAGCTGTCACTCGGGTGATGATTGCCTGCTGTTGTGTGGAGATCATTTGCAATTGAGTCAGAATGTCTGAAAACTGACTCAAATAGCGATCTGCGGACTAGACAGACACGTAAAAAATAACACCACCCACGCACACACACACACACACACACACACACACACACACACACACACATGATCGTATTCACACACAAACACATACATTCACACGCATACACACGCATACACACACACACACAAGTATTATGCTCTGCGTGCACCCAATTGAAGCATTTCTACCTATGGATCACAGAAAACACAAAAATCTCGTGATGTACAACGAGACAATTTCACAAATCCGAAAGAGAGCATTCAATTATTTTGCAAGGAAGAATTCAAAATTGACGGAGTGGAGCAGTAATCTCTGTATATTGAGTAGTACTAACCGGTCACTGCTATTATGGATTTAGGAGTCTCGTCCGTAATTATCGAAAAATTAAAAAATCCGTCCTCGTGCAAAATTGTCTCTAACCCACCCACCGACCCCACCCCATTTTTTCCCATTAATATTTTGATTTTTCCCAATGCCCAGCTAGAAAATAAGAACTCCTGACCCCAGGGTCACTGACTGCACCTGTGTCAGGTACATTGTACTAGTAGCTACTGTACTAGTTTGTTTTGTTTCTGGTTTTTGTTTGTTTTTGTTTTAGTAGGTCTACCAACGGCCATGCACGTCCTACAACTACATGTTCATCATACTGGTGTTTGCGACATTACGAGTACAGTCAGTACCCTGCACAGTCAGTGCAACAACTGTATGAAAGTCACTGAAGTAAAAAAAAAGGTTTATGAAAATTGGACTCGGAAAAATAAAAAAATTAAATTCCGCCAGCACTCCTGACTGCCCAAACCCTTTTGTATGAGGACGGATTTTTTAATTTTTTAATCACGGACGACCCTTTAGGGCTCTGATCCACTACTTTATGTTTTCATGTTATCATTCTGGATAAGGGACCTATACAAATCTATAACAACCCCCCCCCCCCCCCCAGTTGATTACATAATTTCACTGGGCTATACTATGCATACTGCAGATGCATACTACTGCTATGTACACGTCACATGGCTTATGTCATGGGAACAGCCAGTCACCAGCCAGCATGTTATTGTGAGGCCTGTGTTTTTCAATACAATCATTTTGCACACGTCAGTGTTTTGCCTTGTTGAAGTGTAACAGTCCAGACAGGGTGCGCCGCCTCCACTGAAATATCAGCACCCTTATCATGTGTAATATAATGTCATGCTGCACAGCCAGCTAAGACTTAGGGGGCGTTCGAATTGTCTTCATCAACTGTTCAAACAAATTTATAAAAGAGATTAGTTAAAGTGTCCCATTAGAACGGTTTCTGTCATTTTAGAGTTTTTCAGTCGAATTGTCTTGGCGATGATGACGTCCGATCAGATCGACCATCTCCACGTACTACATGACGTAGCCATATCAAACTCTTCGGAACTAATCCACCCCTCCCATCGGATGAGGTTGTGGAGTTTCAAGGAGTTCGTTTTTTTGAAGAGGCCAATAAGGCCACCTCTTCAGAAAAACGAATCTCCTGGAAAAGTCAAAGAGTGACAATTTGGCGAACGCGCCCTTAGAGTATGAGTGTGTAGATAGGCAAAGCCAGGTCTAATGTATGCTCTGGTAGCTGCAACATTCAGGCATGCATCAGCCAGTATTTCCCATTTACATGTACACATTGCATGTATACCCAGCTAGGCTGTATGCTAACAGTACAGCACAGTGAGTACAAAGTCATGTTATACTATGTGAGTACATCCTTACCATAGAGGGAAGTGAGATCTGCAGTAAGTGCATGTGAACATCAGCCGATGTTGGTCTAGATCCAGGATCATCATGCAGACACGACACGATTAGAGAATGCAGTGGGTGATCCGAGCCCAGTCGATCCAGATCTGCTTTGCGTCGGCGACCCTCCGGAACTGATCTCCGCGTTCCATTCTCCAGCAGAACAGTAGCTTCAGTTGGGGAAGGCGGTCGTCCCACAAGCAGCGACAGCATCACCACTCCTAGAGAAAACACATCCAGTTTCTCGTCGTATGCTGTTCCTACTTGTCGGCTCTCTGGCGGCATAAAATAAGGCGTACCGGGGCATCGTGTCAAAGCCGTGACGTCCGCACCTTGACTACCGTGAAGAGTGCGGGCCAAACCAACATCAGCTATCTTGGCTCGCCCTGCCGTGACCAAGATGTTACGTGGTTTCAAATCGCGGTGCAAAATGTTCTTGCCGTGCAGAAAGCGCAAGCCTTCTGCCACGTCGAGTAGATACTGAAGGCTTTGAGCGAATGGCTCTCTTGGCTCAACTCCAATTCGATCAAATAGCGAGCCGGCCATCAGTTCTACCACTATACACGGAGATTGATTGGGAGCAATGCCGATCCCGAGGAGTCGCACAATTCTTTCATGTTGCAGTCGCCGCATGACTAGGCACTCAGTGCCGAATCGCTGCAGAAGAGCTGCACGCCCGACATTGCCCTGTTGGAGTAAAATACTATGTAAGACCTTCACAGCAACAGGGAGACCCTCCAACTCACTTGTATACACAGTGGCATCCGAGCCACGGCCTATCTCGGGTTTGTTCAGGTCAACTTGGACGTATCCAAGCCAAATTGCATCTGGGACACCAAGTCTCTCTTGGAGCTGAGTCTCAAAGTTGAACCCTGCCATTTCAGTAAAATAATAGTGTAACGCACGATCGTCTTGCTCTCGCAACTGTGTGTTTGATTGTGTCCGCGAGTGTTCAGCACCTTGTTATGGCGTTAGACGTACACTGCATTGTGTGTGAGTGTGTGTGTGTGTGGTGTGTGGTGTGTGTGTGTGTGTGTGTGTGTGTGTGTGTGTGTGTGTGTGTGTGTGTGTGTGCGTGTATGAGTGTGAGTGTGTGCGTGTGTAGTCTGTAGACTACAGACTGAAGACTGTGAAGTTTAGACATGTTCCGCACTGGGGTATGCATTCCCGTTCTCACCTCCCTGTTTGCAGTCTACAATATCATGTACAGGTGCAGACATGAAGAGCTAGCTGTCTCTCGCCTCAACAGTTGGTGAACGTTTTGATCGCAATCGGCCACCGGTACCGCAAACGGCGCAGCCGCGTGCCGAAAACGCCCCGTTCGTAAGCATTTCGGAAAGCGATCCTCCAGTAGATCTACCCAGTGCAGTACCGCATAAAAATGAAGCTGTCATGGATCATGGACAGCTAGCTAGCATAGCCTGCCTGGCTATAGCTGGGCGGTCGACCACAAACTGACTGGCGAGTGGCGAGTATCGAGTAGGCAGATACATGTATGCCTGGACATCTGTTGACGTCATCAAACAAGACAAATCCACAATGCGATACAGGGAACGAAACCATGGAAACTGTTGGTTGCTCCCTAGTCAGATCCCTACGCCACGGACCCTAGGCTAGCCTGAAGATCGTGCTAACCACGTCACTGTCACTGAGTCTGTCAGTGTCAGTGAACTGTCACCTGGTCACTGACTCGGCTTGACACTCGACGCCAGTTGACGGCATGACGACTGCCATCCAGGGCACACGCCATACCCATCGAGCCTTCGACCGGGCAAAGGTGCATGCAAGAAAGCACCAGTCCCTGTTCAATGCACAGTGTTTCGTGGAATTTATCTCTCATCAGTTGAGCTTGAGTAGGCTGAGAAAGACTGCGCTTGAAGACCACTACATGTACTTGTCTTTCATCGTGCTCTCCAGGCCATAACATCATCAAGGAATCAAACAAACTTTACCAGGTGTTGCGAATCCAGCGCTAATCAATCCAAAGATACCTCGCGAGTTACTAGAGAGGTTGCGTACAATGAAATTTCGACCGGCCGGGTTCGAGTAACGAAAGTTGCTCCGAAGATCCGTCCAAACTTGACCGAAACAGAGCAGATCTACGAAAATACTTTTCGTTACCTGGAGTACTAAAATACTGATATTTTACAACTCCCTGTCTTGACTCTTCGCACCCGCGCGGCCGCCGCGTCGACCCACGCGTTCAAGTGTGCGCAACCTCATGGTTTACGAATATTCGTTAGATTTTTTCGTTAAAATACTCGTTACGTCGCTACGAATTTCCGTTGTGTGCAACCTCTGTATGGACTTGCTTGTGTGAGCTGAGGAAGGGGCTAAAGGAGCATACAAGTTTTTAAAGTGATGTTAGAGTAATTCATCTCATAGTACAGAATATGCTACATCATCACCAAATCAAGTACCAGTCCATGTAGTCTCTTTGATGCATATTCTAGTAAGAGTACTATCATGTCAAACAAATGTTCGGCTAGGAGCAGGAGTGAGGAGAAAGCAGTAAGGTGGACCTATATCAACAACACAATTTTAAAAGGTGAAAGGGAACTACACAGATACACGGTCAGTGACATGGACAGATACAGAGTCAGGGATGCGGACTGATACACGGTCAGTGACATGGACAGATACAGAGTCAGGGATACGGACGGATACACGGTCAGGGACATGGACAGATACAGAGTCAGGGATGCGGACTGATACACGGTCAGTGACATGGACAGATACAGAGTCAGGGATACGGACTGATACACGGTCAGGGACATGGACAGATACAGAGTCAGGGATACGGACGGATACACGGTCAGTGACATGGACAGATACAGAGTCAGGGATACGGACTGATACACGGTCAGGGACATGGACAGATACAGAGTCAGGGATACGGACGGATACACGGTCAGTGACATGGACAGATACAGAGTCAGGGATACGGACTGATACACGGTCAGGGACATGGACATGCACTGGTAAAGGGACATGGTTAGGGGCAGGGACAGGAACAGAAACAATTACAGTCTGTTTCAAAAAGATTAGCAATCAAGTTTGGGTCTTAAAAAGTATGAAGATAAGGGAAATTTGGACAACAAAGTACATAAAACGGCTTGTTAGGATACGGCAAATTGTTCTGTGAAGGTTTCGGAACAATTGGACCAACCGTTAAGGAGTTAGTATTTCGGCCAGGTTTCTGGCCTTTTCCCATGGTTTATAATTTGCCCTGGAAGCCAGTATCGATTTGTTATCAAAACCCACGATTTATCCCTTCCTTTTTGGCCTTGTGGTTGTCTGCGGACCATGAAGTTGTGAGTTCAAATCCCAACAAATCTTCAAGTCAAACATTTTTTTCTTCTCTTATTCATTGTTTTGGTGATCACGCTGGTACAAGACAAAGAAGCTTTGAAGGTGGCTGCGCCAAAAACGACTTGTTGTTGGAGCTCGCGTTTCCTGCCGAACTGACTGACACTTGACTGGCTCACGCTACGTGGAGTTGTGAACACACACAACACTGAAACCGTGTGAGTGAACACGGAAGTCATTGCGCTGTAGCTACGTGTTGTTGAATACACCGGCACATCGATCGATCGATTTCTGTTTGAGAATTATTTTAGAATTATTTTAGTATTAATTTTGAAGATCGCCAATTTATTTGAATTTAGGAGTCAACACCGTCTTCTATCAGCTTTCACAGGCGTCTGCTTTTCTCAAAATGTCGTCGAAGTCACACGGATAGCCTTGGGAATGAGTCTGTGTCGATGCCGTTTTCGTCAAATTGCATCCGCAGCAGCTCAAACAATCTATTTGGTCACAAAACGGACGCATCCCGCTCGTCAAAATGTACCACACTTTCGACATGTCCTCTCTGACTCCATATCGATGCGAGGAAGAACTCGTTTGTTGTAAACCAGACGAACACTTGGTTCACCTCTGTGCACCATCGCCTCCGTCAACGTCGAGATCGACTATTTGCTGCAGCAAAACGTGTCAATACCCCTGAGTGCTGGGCTGCTTATCGCATTTCAAGGAACTGCCTCGTCGCTGCCATCCGTAATTTCGTAAAGCTAAACGTCACTTCTACGACCAGATGTCAGAAGGCCTTCATGCAGATCGAGGATCTTATGACTGGTGGAAGAAAGTCAAGAAAATGTGCCACATCAATTGTCCTCACACCGCTATACCTGATATACAAGGAGTCGATACCTTAGCGGTTACCAACCCTGAGAAAGCGAACATCTTCTGTCAACAGTTCGCCAAGAATAGTCAAGCTACACCGTCGTCGGATGCAGATCATCGTGATCTCGCCATGCCTTCTTCTTCGGAAACATTTGCCATCCGCCCTCTGTCTATCGTAGAAGTATTCAAGGCACTGTCGACCCTAAGTGTGCGAAAGTCTACAGCTGGCAGTCTTCCTAACAGGATCCTACGAGAGACAGCAGAAGTGCTCGCCCAATCCCTCACTGCTCTCTTTAACCGCTGCACCACTTACCGATCCCAACCCCTTGAGTGGAAAGTTGCAATCGTTACCCCAATTTACAAGGGTAAGGGAAGTCGCAATGACCCTGCTAACTACCGGCCGATATCTCTGCTGAATGGTGTGGCAAAATGCTACGAAGCGTTAATCAGCCGCCAGGTGTACGCGTTTGTAGCGAAACACAAACTACTGTCGCCGAAACAGTTCGGGTTTCGCCACCACCGAAGCACGGTTGACCAACTTGTGCATATCACATCAACTGTCAGCTCTGCATTTGATAACCGGGCCCAGTGTGATGCCGTCTTTCTCGATTTCTCGAAGGCATTTGATCGTACCAGCCATCGCCTCCTAGCCTCATGTCTGTCCGGTTGGTGTGCACCTGACTCATTCGCGTGGCTGATGGACTTCCTGGAAGGCCGATCGATGTCTGTGCGGGTCGGAACCTCCTTATCAACCCATATGTCGCTCACCGCTGGTGTGCCACAAGGCTCCCACCTAGGCCCTCTATTATTCAACCTGTCTATCAACTCCCTTCCCAGCATTCCCCAATCCAGCGATCTGACTCTGTTTGCGGATGATTCCAACATGGTCTGCGTTTCTCCGCCTACTGTCATACCCGCCGCGCACACTGCCTCCCTGCAACTAGACCTTGATAGATGTGTGAACTGGTCCCATAAAGCTGAAGCAGTTTAAATGCTAACAAATGTGTCCATGTTCCCTTTTGCAGACCTAAATCAAACCCACCTGATCCCAGGACCGTCACCATGGCCGGTACGTTACTGACCCAGCCCTCTTCCCACCACCATCTGGGCATCATCCTCACTCCTTCACTCAATCTGTCCCCCCATATTCAACACATTACCAGCAAATTTCGAGGTCGGGTTTTTCTTTTAAACCACATGTCCAACTTCCTTCCTTTTCCTGCTGTGAATCTTTTGTACAAATGTTATGTTCGTCCCCTCCTTGAATATGCTGTTCCCGTTTGGATGTTTTCCGTTTCAGCCACCATGTCCACAGCCCTTGATAAATTGCAGGCTACTGCTGCTAGAGCATACTTAAATAGTAAACTCAAGCGTCGGCCTGACTGGACGACTTCCAAAGAAGACCTCAATGTTCTGTCCTCTTGGGAATCGTTAGCATGGCGACGGCAGATTCTTGGCCTTGTCTATTTCCACCATGTATTCTCCCAATACCCCTCCTTGTTGTCTCACTTCCAGCTACCCTCTTCCCAAAGCAGTCGTCACCCTTCATCCATAATTCTTCCTAAAGCTGGCACCTTCTTTCGTAAATCAACCCTTTTTTCTTTGAGTGTTGCCTGGAATAAACTTCCTGAAGATATTCGTTCACTCTCTACAACAGCGAAATTTAGTATTGCTGTTCGTCGGTATCATTCGCAATCTATGTTTTCTTTGAAAGGTATTCCTCACTTTTGTGTCTAGGCTAACCACATCTATGATAGTTTCAATAGTTTGTGTATATGTCAGTTATAGTAGTCCGCAATGCTGCTTTTCTAATTCTCATTATGATTAGCATGCA